ATCCGGTCAAATTAAAAGCAATTTTGGAGAGAGGGATCAGAGGAGATGTACGGGGGGGGTGGAGGAAAAAAAAAAAAAGAAAGGTGTGGGGGGATGGAGGAAGAAAGGTTAAGAGGATTGGCAGGTTCCTGCAGTAGTGTTGTTGCTAGGGAACGCCATGTGACCTGTTGCCTGGCAACACTGTCTAACGGAGAGATTGCTGCAGCAGCCGCACCCTCCATCAGCAGGGAGTGGGCGAAGGCAGTTTCCAAGGCAACCGGTCATATCTCTGAATGGGAGATTTAGAGACGGGGGTGGGGGGGGATGAAGGAGCGTGGAGCAGAGCAAGGGACGGGGACTCTGCAAGGGCAGGTATTAAGAAGAAAAAGAGGGCACGCTGTAATTTAGAGGAAACACTGGTTTGGGTCGATGTGTCTCATGCAGAATAGATGTGATGTGCCGCATATATTTACACGAGCACCACTGTCAGATTTGTGCGAGTGCTACAAACCACCAGAGGGACTGTTTTAGATGGGAGCGTATCTCGTAACTAGACAGGAAATAACACAGCCTATTTTAAATGTAGGACACCAGGTTACACGGAATGAGGCCTCAAACACCCACATATCTACACCAGGTGGCATGGCAACCTCCTTCCAAGGAGTTTTACTGTCCTGCTTACCAGCAGTTACACCATAATCCATTTCAGACACGCATCCGCTGTGAAATGTTGGCTAATGTGAAGCAACCGCAGAGTTACAAATAATCCTCCAGGTCAGAGAAACTGTAGCACAGAGGAGGCTGAGCTCCTCATGAATGTGTCAACTCTTGACATGAACCGCTCCTTATGAATGAATTTGTCTCGTGCACACACACATACACAGGCCTCAAATTAATACATGGACCAGGTTTCTAATTAACAACATCAGGGTTTTGAATTTGTCACAGACAGAAAAACCCTCGGGTGTCCCAAGACGAGGAGACAATATTCACTCATTAAATGCTACACAGCCACACAACATTTTAGCTCAGATGGTCATGCATAGGCATGTGAACTGCTGCAGCCACATCAGGTGCGCATTAGCCAAAAAGATGTACTGCCGTGATAGAGGATTATTTTCTTCACAGCACTAACACTGTGCAGTCTGCAGCATAACTGCCTCTCCAGTAATCATTCACACATTGCTCTCTGAAGCTGTTATTAGACATGAACTCTAGGTCAGGACATTTTCATTCTGAGTTTGCCTTTCACATATAAAGAATTCATGCTCACAACAAGATGAACACTTCCAGAATATTCAGGCGAGGGGAATAGACCATGCAGGGTACAGGACATGATGTATAAATTCTGCTGCATTTTTGTTTTTCACAACTCATTGGCACCTTTGTTGGCACCAAAAGCTCTTGAATCTCGTTGTCTTTCCAAGTTGACATCTTTGTCTGCTTATTCTCTGTGTACGACACATCTTCTTCACCCTGATATATTTGCATTCATCCAGTTTTTAATCTGTGGCATGTTAGCAATGTCATGAACATGCCCACTTGCTCGCTGTGAGTGTTACTGCTCTATTCTCACACGGGCTCGTTCGGATATTTTTCAGACGTTTAACTGGGGGATGACAGGAAAGGTTCTGTAAAATGTGACTCAGACTATTTGCCTTCTGACATGCAGGAAAATTCCTGAAAATGTTTGGACTTTAGAGCATGTCTGAAAGCAGCGTTAGAAAGCTGTGGACGAAGAACTTACTGTCCCTTAATGAACAATTTAAAAGAGAAAAGTTGCAGTATATCTTATCGCAGACTTGACTTGTTGTAGAGATCCATATTGTTCTATGAATCTTTCCCTCTGGCGCAGTTTCGAAATCGTGCCCTCGTTGACCTTTCATAGCTGACACTGCACGGCCGATATCATAATCTATAATCTAACAGGCAGAGTGACGGAGCATCAAATCGCCATTAAACAGCAGCATCAGGTCACAGGAAATGATATGAGAGTTATATAAAATGGATGTGGATTCTTGACAGCACTGCATCACCGGCTCAATAAGCTCATCCGCAGTCTGCCTCAAACATCTCTTTTAAACTCACCGACTCTCTGTTCAGTTTATTTCAAGCAATCTTCCTCGACCCACTATTAATAGCGATTGACTGGGACTCATGTCAAACACTGGAACCTCTCTCTGGGATTTAATACCCAGATTAAATACAGACAGACCATACCATCAAATGTCATAATCCTCAGAAACAGATGAGTATTAGAGTATTAGAGTATTAGAGCACTGACTTGACTAATGGTATCATGGTAATCATGGTAACATCTGACACGGACTAATCATTAAACAAGCTAAATTACGCAAGTCAATTATCTGCATCTTTTTTTTTTTTTTTTTTTTKACTGAACAAGCTGTACATTTAGTGAAAATACATAAAAACTAGAAATAAGATGTATCTCATTATACATTTAACAAACAGTTATACTCTGGTAAGACATAACAAGTCGTACTTTATATCAAATTACACAAAATAAGGAATAAAACACTTAAATTCTGCTCTCTTTAGAAATCACATTACCTAAGATATAATATTCTTTGACACTATTATACCAAATTATACTCTAATTGGAAACCTCATAGGAGATCAAAATACACTTTTAGACACCAATGACCAACTAATGCGATAATTACTCATATTTATAACAGTTAGACAAATCACTGAGAACAGAGACAATACATGTTTTGGTTTAAAAACTTTCCTACAGGGTTTTTTTTTTGCTCATGAGAAGTCATTGGTCCACATTTGGCTGCTTCTTCACATGTCCCCTCGTAGCCTAGATGTTCTCCAGAGAACCACTGAGTTAGTGGTACAGCTTCTACATGGCTTTATAGTACATGCGTCCTCAAAGCTCCACTCCTGCACCAGTTGGGACTGTTATCAGACCAAGTCCCTCTCCAACTCCAGCAGAGCGTATTTCTAGTTTTGTGTTATTTCTTAAAAAGTGCAGCTTGTTAAATCTCATTTGGGTAAAACTCTGTTTAAAGAAGATATTTTTTCTAGTAATATCCAATTTGATAGGAAGTTGTTATGTCTTCAGAACATACTAAAATAATTATTATTTAAAAAAAACTATAAAATGCAAGGCCATGTATATCTTGATTTTCATTAAGACAACTGGGATTAAATATTTTATTTTATTTTAATGTAGGTTAACATCAGTCCTTATGGCACCATATCTGCCCGAGTTAATACAGCGCACAATCAATTTGCCGTGAGTCATGGCTCAATAATAAAACAACAGCGGCCTATTAAATGTGTCCAGTCAATACACTGTAGAGCTGCAGTCCTGCAGAGCCACTGTATCTGTTGACAAGAGCAGCGGTGTCCATTGCAGCAACTCTTCTTAGAAATCATCCTCAAACATAATGAGACTCATTCTCAGACGGTCAGTGTGCATATGGAGACTGTGCATTTGCAGAATACTGTATACTTCCCTATGGGACAGTGGTTGAAACCATTTCAACACTCCCGCAATGTCATAAATAGCCGATAATGAAAAAAAAAAATCAAACAGAATCTTTTTGCATGGTTCTGTGTTTGATCTAAATAAAATCCAGACGGAAAGTAGGTCAGCGCAGCGGGAACTGGTGTGGGCCTGAGAGCACCATGTCTTCAAAACCCACCCACCCCCATCTTTCTTAGTATCTCCCACCCCGTCAGTCTCTCTCTTCCTCCCTCCCTTTCTATTCTTCTCTCTTCATCTCATGAAAAATCCTCTTTTAACATTTTCACCTTAATAGCCGTCTTACTTCCACTTTACATAATCATTTTTCTATATATAGATCTTATCCTGTGATGATATTTTTTTATATTTCAGATTATTTTTGTTCGACACAATTGCATTGTGGGTTCCTTTCTCAGTCACATTCGTACTTGAACACTATTGAATCCCATTCTCTGGCCTCAGATGAGGTTGTAGGATTATGTTGTAACCAAACATCCAAAGATACAAATATGAGTTTAGCATTCCTGTGTTTGTAAAGGTTAGTACCCTCCAGTGTTCCCTCCTGTGGTCTTGGCTGAACTGAAAATATCTGCTCCCTGTGGCTATCGCTCCACTGTCAGGCTATCTCTCTGCTGGCTGTTGCTTGAGTTTGATCATTCTTCACATGCATGTGTCAGATTCAGGAACATCTCAAGTAAGAAACAATGCATGACAAGTAGAGCAGTTATTGTAACATAGATCACAGTGCCGAAGCTGCTAAGAGGATGGGGTTGGAGGGGGAAAAAAAGTTTTTCCAGTTAACCGTGATTTTCATTTGAATCTTTGGATTTGGACCTTTTCCATCCATGTTTGAAATGATGACGCCTTTGTTTTATGTGCTAGTCTTGCTCAACAGTTTTGCACGCACAGGCATAGACAAAAACAGATGTGTAATGTTTCAGTCCTATTGTACTTGCCAAGAAAATAAACCCTTGATTGCACAGACTGGATTCTGGATTGTGAATGAAAATCATTCATGAGGCCTGAAGTTTAATGCAAAGCAGGTCTAGCAGGACTATCTTGTGTAATACCTAGTAAAACAGGAAATTGCTTGTTTTTATGCTTTGACTTGAACAGGTCAAAGAAAACCAGATATGTATGAATTTCAACTGCTTCGTGTCCTCATGAGTTGAAACCTCTGTTACAAAGTATATGCAGGTTAGAGGTAGACGTTAGTGAGTGTTGGTATGTTTTTTGACGTCAGCGAGGCTAGCCAATTTTATCCAAAGCAACTTCTAATTAGGGCATTCAACATCTATGAGGGGCCATTCAGAGTTCAGCCTATACCAAGGATACTTCACTTGTATGTATATTTAACGTATTGTCTTCGTAATTCTTTTCTATCATACCTCTGTAGATGGTGATGGTGGAGAGCTTTCACCCCCAGTGGGAGCTGGAGTCAACAGCAACAGCTGGCACTTCAGATACGGCGCCGGGCAGAGCTACGGTCCCCCTCAGCCCATGAAGCCCGGAGAGATTCCCCCCGAAGCCTTCATCATCCCCGGATCCCCCGCCATCATTTCCATCCGCCATGACGCGGGCCCTGTGGACGACAAGGGTGACTTCATAAGCTTCGGCAAGAAGGAGGATGCCAAGAAGAAGAAGAAGAAGAAGAAGGACAAGAAGGACAAGAAGGATAAAGGAAAGGATGACGGTGACGAATAGAGGAGAAGGGGTGATTTGAAAACAGAGCTACCAACAAACTACCATCCCAATTTCAGAGCCAGAAAAAATAAATCGAAATGCATATTGTAGAACCGAGGGAGCCTCTTTGCACCATATTTGCATTGACACTGTACAGTGGCCAAACGCTCATTAGACCAGGCCTGGCTCCCCCGCACCATGCAAACCTGCGAACCAAATGTTCGTCTCCCTTCTTGGCTCATTTGGCCCACAACTTCGGCCAAGGTTTATGGTAAACAAACGTTCTTAGTAGCTAGATTTCATCTAAAGGCTGGACCAAATTAAAACAGAAAGCAATTTATCAGATTAGAATAGCCCTGCTGTGATTCCCACTTTGTATAATGAAACACAAAGACACCTGAGAAGGTGTACGATTTGTATCTGACTATTGTCAGCTGAGGTTGCCCGCGTTGGCGTCTCTGTCTATATGCAGCCCCCTTACTTTTTGACTGACCTAGTTGGAGGTGACGTTAAAGCTAAACTAAAAGAAATGAAACAGAGGCTTTGTCTTTAGTATTATGGAGGCCTTGTGGTCTTTTGTAAAAAAAAGAAAAACGAAAAAGTAACAACAATACAGTATATGTACCATGAGATTAGCACCTTTTTAAGAGAACGAGGTGGCTGAGATGAACAGGACCACTCTCGGACAAAGAGCTCTGTTCAGTGTAACATAGCACATTGCAGAGGCTGAGGACCTGGACTGGGTTGCACCAACTATGCGCAAGTTTGTTCCCAGGTTAAGGTAACAAAAAAAAAACTAGTGGCTTCATAACTGCTGGTTCATTTGCAGTTAGCCAGTTACTGAATTAGACCGTACTAATGGATATTACTCTACAGCTGTAGCTATAGTTAGAACATTAAGATTGGAGAGTAGCTGATCAGTAAGAGCACTACCATGCTGGTGGAAACAAACCGCTTTGATTTATAGTAGATTGGCAGAAAAATTACGATTAATAAATAGAACCCAAATTTGACACTTGAAGGACAATACTACGATTTCTATGTTTTAGTCCATTGTCTACAAATCATTTTAAAACCAACATAACTGCTTGCAAGTATCTAAAGCACAACAAAGGGAATTTTGGGAATTCCAATGTGTTTTTTTCCAAACTTCCAGGCAGCAAAAGTTATATTTTCATCACACATTGATGAAGCTCGAGTGCAGCTTAATGTAATAAATTCCCTGCACCATCACAATAAGGTCACTTTGGCAGAACAACACAAAAAACATGCTGGATTACATACAGTATGACCAGAACGCGTACATTTTTTACCGCAGATTATTCCTGAAAAGGGAAAGACACATAAAATAAAGTCAGTAATGTGTAATTTGTAGAAAATGGACATTAAACGGTCAAAATCACTGATATCGTCCTTTAGGTTGCAAAGTGGTATGGGATTAGTCAAGAAAAAAAATAGTGTGTGCAGGAAATACACCTGCTTTACTGTTAGTGAGTGCAATTGTGTGACTTTGTATCATTTGCACCTGCTTTATTGCTTGCTTAACTACTTAGTTGTTACTTGAGGTTATGTTGTAAGAGATTTTTGTGGTGCTACCGCTTATATTTTAGCAGTGCGTGAATCGGGATCAGTGGCTACTTCGGACATAACTAGGGAACCTATACGTGCAGCTGATGCAACCGGCCCCTGACCTTGACTCCTCTCTTGGAATATGGCACAGGTCATCGGGGGTCTCAATCCCGCTGTGTATCAGCACGCCCAGTCTGACACACGCTGACAACACAAACATCACACTGACTTTCTCTGCCTCTTACACACACACACACACACACACACACACACAGACACAAGCAAACACACACGTATTCCAGACATACAGACATATACGACTAAATTATCCTAAAAGAAAACGCATTCCTCTCTGGAAACTCCAAAATCCAAGACTAAAGGCCAGTGCCACCCTGAATATGGGAGTGTATTATATGGCTGGGAGACAGGAAGGTTGCTTGTCGCTTCATTTCTGTTCAAGCCTGATCCCCTCTACTTCTGTCTCTGAATGTTAAATAGTCGTTCTTCAAGCCCTGCACCACTGCCTCAACTGCTTCAGTGCTTGTAGGATTCGCTTTGCCCGCTGCCCGATTTCCTCCCCTCTACTCCCGCTTCCTCAGATCAACATGTTCGGACGCCATCTTTCAAGTCGCCCTCCCTCGATGAACTGTGCAGCATTTGTGCATTCGCATATTCACAAACATAGACACACACCACACACATCTTTTGTTCAAGTTCAAGTGAGCTTAGGTGCTTCAGCCCGAGTGTCTCTCCTGATCGCCGCTCGCTGACAGCTATGTCATCTTTCGCATTGGTCCTCGTGTGTCGCGTTGTAAGGACCTCTGACGGGTTCTCTAAAACTGTGCCGGATATAATGAGACAAGATGAAGAGGGCGGAAAAAGAGACGGGAAGAGAAAGAAAGAAAAACAGTTGTAGTGTAGTGTGCTGCTCCAACGCTGACGATCGAGCAAATCATGCCTCTTTTGCACACACAGTGGTACTCCAGTCATTCCTGTGTCAGCCATTAGTGACAATTGAGCAACTTGGGTCAAATAAACCACGCTCAATGGGAAGTGCAGCTCGGCGGCACTGTGAACGGTGGTCGACTTGGGAAGGGAAAGAATCATATGAGTTAATGGAGGAGAAACATGGTGCTCCATTGAGAGGCATTAACATTTAAAAGACAACAGGAAGCAAGCAAACATTTATAATATCTTAAATGATACATTATTTTTGCTTGACTGCTGCACATGAACATTAGAAAAGAGGCTGCAGATGGACTTTATATGACCCTGACGTTGTGAGATCAGTCACTGGAGAGAAGAAAGTGTATTGGTGGGTAATGGAACAGCATCAACATGATGGAAAGTGTCATGAAATCTCACCTCAGTGTTCCTTTTTATAAAAACCCAGCATATTACCAGTCACAGTAGGAGTGTATAGGTGCTGTTATCAGGCTCAATCCCCCCCATGCACACGTTCCCTCCCCGCTCCCCTGCCCCGTCCTCCAGGTGTACTTCTGTGCTGTCAGATCACCAAGTGGCTGTTTGCATGTTATAAGCAAAAGGAAACAGATACTATATAGATAATATATATATACATAGATATGTTTTTCCACTGGGAAATGCGTATTGGAATACATATACCTCTGATACACATTCTCAAAGGCGACACACACACGTTGAAAGACCCACAATCAACCATACACACATGAATAAACACATACATCCATGTACTCTACTGCGAACAGTGATTTGTGGAAAAACCTGAAAGAATCACTTTTTTTTATCCTGCTGAAAATGAATTTAATCTTCTAGATATACATAATGCTATTGTGTTATGCTATGAAATGCCTTTGTTTTTACCCCCTTTTTTTTCATTGTAAGAAAAACTTGTGTTAAGCTATGGAACGATGATCAAACAAACACTGTTGTGAAATAAAATCATTTACTCACCCTCCATATCTATTGTTTGCCCAGTAGAGAAATAAAAAAAAATGAAAAAAGACTATAAAAAAACATCAAAATATATAAAACGATATTAAAAAAAATAAAGTTGATGTATTCTCTGCTTGTGTATAGTGAATGTTCTTCAGTCGCTGGATGTGACACATACCAGTCGACTGTGACAGTGCAGATCTGTTCATAACTTTTTGTACACCTGCTTCTCATTGTAAAGGTGATAATAGTGATTCTTATGATTTCATCAATCTGGTGATGTGTTTTGTTTATAAGTCACAAATAAAGTTTTTCTTAAATATCTTAAGCTGTGTGGGGAGTGGCTTTCATTAAGAGTTAAGGTGACAGACTTCTGGGGCAATATTTAGTGAGTTAGGTGGAATCGAGGATGAAGAAGAACACTTGTTGTACTCCAATTGCACAACCATCATGAAACACCTGGCCCGTGCTTCAGGAAGGGAACTTTTTTAAAGCTGATTTCTTTTGTCAAGCTTGAGAGAAAAGGCAGAATATTTTTAAAGGCTGATTCATAAAATACAACAGTATTTTGGCCACTTGAAGGAGATTTTGAGAATACAGTCATTATATACTGGGGAGGCAGTGGCTCAGTCCATAGAGACCTGCTTGGGAACCAGAGGGTGGCTGGTTCAAGTCCAGCATAGACAGAAGTTGGAGAGGTGCCCTTGAGCAAGGCACCAAACCCCCCAATTGCTCCCCGTGGCTGCCCACTGTTCCATGTGCTCACTGTGTGGATTATGTGCTGTGTTCACACAGATTCAATTTGACTTTTCTTATTTCCACCACTAAAATTACAACTTTATTCTTGTAAAATCAGATTGTATTTCCTCTCTACATTGCTGTAATATTTATTGTCGTGCACTCATCGAAAGCAGTCATTCAGATTTTTTTTCTTATCGTTTCATCT